CTCTAAAATCATAAAATTTACGGGTCTTACAAGTGAATACCGGCACACGTGATTTAATTGATCTAGAAGAGCTGGGTCGAGCTGTCGAACGATCCGGAGAGTCTCTTGTACCTTCAAACAATAATAATTTATCAGCCCCAAATCTCACTTAATTGTTCAAAGCTAAATTCTTAAGTATATAAGCATTTTCAGGATTTGACTATCAATTTGGAGGATTTCGGGTTTGAATTTGGCCAAACGGATTGCGGAATCGGAATCAGGACGTCGAAAAACATAAAGTATGTCTTTTCAAAAATTTAAATTCTTGGTCAAAGTCAAAGTCAACCACTTTGATCGTTGATTTGGAGGCTTTCGAATTCGAATTTTACAAAACGGACTTCGGAAACGGATTCGGAACGTCGAAAACTATCAGAATAGGTATACTTGGAAATGATTAACGGTCGTTTAATGGTCGGTCAAAGCCATTTTAAGTTTTGGTCAAATGAGGTCAACAGTCACGGTCAACGGTCAACTGTCGGGTCGGGTCGGTCAGGTCGGGTCAGACCGGTCTAACCGGTCGAAACCGATCAAACCGGTTTTCATCCATTCACTCTCCCTGCGGCGGCGCGTGTGGCGCGTGAGGCCTCCTCCGGGGGTCTAAAAATTACGGAAAATTTTCTAAAAATTATTTTGAGCGATTTCGAGATACTTACAAAGATCGGTTCAAATTTTTGAACGGCGGAGAGTTCGATTTCAACTCGGCCGAATCTTTGACTGCTCCACCTCCTCACGCGCCGCCGTCGACGGCGAACAAGGTTGATACCGGCGGACTTGCAACGACACAAGGAACACGATGGTGCAGGAGGTGTCGTAAACAAAGCAACGATCGGCGGTGAATTTAAGATTTTCCCGGCGATAGAGCTAACAAAAATGTCGAGACTTTGACTGTAAATTCCCGACGTTTGGCAGCGTTTCGCTTCAATTAAATTGAAGGATTTGTTCCTCGCTCGATGATGAACACAACGGTGGTTTCAAAACGACGATCGGAATTCGGACGGCGTCTGGATTTAAGTCGGAAACCGACGTAGGGGAAGGGAATTTGGGAGCAATTGAGGTGTGGTTTTCTTTTTTGAAACAGAAACCACACGTATATAACATATAACCCCAAACTTATCTAACTTTTTTGGTTAAATTCAGGGCTTAGTCCCTGAATTTTCTTTAACTCTAAAACAAGCTCTAAGTTTTAAAATCTTTCAATTTAGTCCCTAAATTTTCGCCAATTTTCACAATTAACCTCCAATTTCAATTAAATACTATTTTGTAAATATTCGGGTTGTTACAAGTCTGGCCTATAACGAGTTACAGACCTATCTGGATTCCTTTTTACCTTAAAAATCCATTTGCAGATGACAGCTTGTCTATCCTTTGGAAGAGGAATAAGAGTCCAAGTGTCGTTATTCATCAAGGCCTTATACTCTTCCTGTGCTGCCTTCTTCCATTGCGGAGACAAGTACAAAACTTCCTTAATAGAGCGAGGCTCCTTATCCAGATACGCAACATGCAGAGCCTTGGGTTTTCGAATCCCATTGTTCCCTCTTGTCACCATGGGATAAATATTATGAAACCCAGACGTAGAACCATGCACAGCTGGCAATGCAACAACATCCTGACCATGTAAAGAACAAGTCGGGCCCACTAAACCTTGCTCAGTCTGAACACAAAGACCATTATTATTATTATATGCACACAAGACAGGATCAAACAAGGAATGATCAACACACCGTGCAGGATTGGACAGGGCACTAGCCTCGGGAATGCCAAGAGTAGAAGACCGAGACTGTTAAAAAATAGGACAGCATTCCCCAGGTACAGAAATAACTCCACGTGAACTACCACCCAAAAAATCATTTGTCAACCATGCATCATTCTGCTCATTCCTCGCCAAAACACGTTGGGAAGAAGACTAATTAGCAGAACCAGAAACCGCACGACATGAGGCTGTTCAGCAGACCCAAAATCTGCCACAGGTATAGGAGTTGTATCCAGTGTAGGCATCGCCTCATTACCCTGAGAAACTACCATCTCCACAGCTTCTCGAGAAGTTAGTTGAGGAGCAGAACGAGCAGAACCAGACACTTCCATAACAGGTACATGAGTTGTATTCGGTGTTGCAACTGTATCTGGTGCAGTATCTGTACAAGCAACAACAACAGTTAACAGTCCCGTTGAAACACTGGATTCATGAGGACGAGAACAACCACCCTTGCACACTTCATACGGAAAGCTTGCCTCATCAAACACAACATGCCTGGAGACAATCACCTTATCCGAGTCATCCAAACATTTATATCCTTTGTGAAAAGGGCTATAGCCAAGAAAAACACACTTCTTGGACCTAAACTATAACTTGTGCTGATTGAACAATCGAATACATGGAAATCAAGCACACCCAAACACCTTGACAAGAGAATAATCTGGAGACTATTGATGAAGAACTTCGAAGGGAGGAGTGGGACATTTTGTTTCTAGTAATGGAGAAAATGGGATTTGGTTCCAGGTGGAGAGGTTGGATCAGAAAATGTGTAACCACAGCTTCAGTTTCTGTTTTAGTGAATGGAGTTCCTACTGAGGAATTTACAATGGTTAAAGGTCTTAGACAGGGGTGCTCTCTATCACCTCTGTTGTTTAATTTTATTGAAGAACTTCTCAATCTGCTAATTGTGAAGGCTGTGGAACAGGGTCTATTTTCTGGACTGGTTTTAGGAAGGGGTGCTGATGCTTTAAAACTATCTCATCTACAGTTCGCGGATGATCCAAGACGCAGATTTTAAATGTGAAGAGGGTGCTTAGAGTGTTTCAAGTGATTTCTGGTTTACAACTCAACTTGAAGAAAAGTAAACTGTTTGGTGTGAATATGAATGAGGAAGAAGTTCAGCAGTGGGCTAACTCTATCGGATGTTCTGTGGGTAGTTTTCCCTCTGAATATTTAGGACTGCCTTTGGGTGCTACTAGGAACTCTACAGCACTTTGGAATCCGGTGGTGAATAATTTTATGAATAAATTAGCGGGGTGGAAGGCTGCTTCCCTGTAATTAGCAAGAAGGTTGGTTTTAATAAAGTCGGTTCTATGTTCGCTCCCGACGTATTATTTATCTTTATTTAAGATACCGGCTACGGTTCTTAAATCTCTCAACTCCATTATGGCGAATTTCTTATGGGGTGGGGGAGTAGGTAAAAATAAGATACATTGGGTTAACTGGCCGAATGTGTGCAAGTCAAAATTCGAGGGGGGTTTAGGTGTTAGAAACCTTGGTTTCATGAATAGAGCTCTTCTAGCAAAATGGTATTGGAGGTATGCTAATGAAAGGGGGTCTGTTTGGAGGGAATTCATTTGTTCTAAATACAAAATGGATCCATCTTGGTTAATGTTTGACAACAAAGTCCCACAAAGAGTATCTTGGATTTGGAGATCGGTGGTTTTGAATCACTTTAAAGAAGACAGTATTGGCTCTAAGTTTAGAAGTTTGTATTCTTTCCGAGTTGGGGATGGCAGATTAATTAGGTTCTGGCAGGATAATTGGGCGTTGGAATTTCCTCTTCTAATTATTTTCCCTCGATTGTTCTCCATTTCCACAAACAGAATGGGTAAACAGGTTGAATTTGGGAATTACAGCTCATATGGTTGGAGTTGGGATGTGCAGTTTAGAAGAAATTTAAAAGCTGGGAAGTAGAAGAGTGGGTTAACTTGATGAATGCTATCTCCTCTGTTTCTCTATCTACGGAGTTATGTGATGGGGTGATTTGGAAAGGTACTGGAGATGGGGTATATACTGTTAAATCTGGCACTAAGATTTGTTCAACCATTATTTCGGATTCGGAAGAGGTATATTTCTGGAAGAAGATTATTTGGAGGGTCCAGATTCCACCTAGAGTGGAGTCCTTTATGTGGCAAGTGGTGTTAGGGAAGCTGGCTGTTAGGTCAGAACTTGTTAAAAGGGGAATACAAGGAATTGTAGACATTAGGTGCCCTCTTTGTAAGAGAGAGGTGGAGTCTCCATCGCACTTGTTTTTCACGTGTTCGGTGGTGTGGATGATTTGGAATAAATTTCTGAATTTCTGGAAGATTAAGTCTGTTTTGCATGTTAATGCGAAAAAATTCCTACTTGCTTGGGCTGAGTTGAAGTCTTCTTCTACAATTTGGTCTTTTATTCCTGGGGCAGTTATTTGGACTACTTGGAAAGTAAGGAATCTCATTATGTTTGAAGGGGGAAAGCTGGATTTGGCTAAATATTTTTTCCTAGGAAGGTTTAGACTAGCTTATTGGTTCATTGCTAAGTACAAAGAGGTGTCTATTCCTAAGGATTCTCTTATTTCAGACCCTTCATTAGGGGATTTGTGCTCTCTTTATCCTAATCGGCTTGTATCTATATTTCCTTGGTCTCCTCCTCCTCAAGGTTTTGTAAAGTTAAATGTTGATGCGGCTACTACAAGAGATTGGAAGAAGAGTGGGATAGGAGGTGTTCTAAAGGACTCCTCGGGTTTGACTTTAAGTTCTTTCAAGGAATCTGCTGGTCCGGGACCTCCAACTTTTATGGAATTAAAAGCTATTCAAAAGGGTCTAATGTTCTATGCGAATTTACGAGACAGGAAGGGTCGTCTGATTATTGAAAGCGACAGCAAAGTTGCGGTAGACTGGATTAAGAAAGAGGATCTAGTTCCTGATGTTTATGCGTTTTTGATCAAAGATATTGTTCATAGGCTTAATGTTTTAGAAGGTGTTGTAAGATGGGTTAATAGGTCAGCCAATCTAGAGGCTGATGCCTTAGCTAAAGAAGGAATTGGCTGATTCTATTCTAGTCTTATATTTCGGGTGTTTTATGGTTGTTTCAAGTTTATTTGGTTGGTGGGGTGTATGATGGTTGTATCTTATGTAATTTTATGGTTCAATAAAATCCTAAGGCGCTCTTTTCCTCCTTCCACTGATTAAGGAGTTCATATAAACTCCATTAATCAAGAAGGGGGATTTTAACGAGGCCTGAAATTCTTATCAAAAAAAGATTGAAGCTAGAAGAATTTTGATACAAGGAAAAAAGACCCCTACAGCACGGGTTTGTCTATCTCCTCTCTATTTAAAAGCCGACTGTGTCATTTAACATTTAGCCATCTAACATGTGTAAAATTAATCAACAGAATGAGGCAAGCACCAAAAGAATAGCTGATCTTATGGCTGTTATCAAATGCATTGATGATCATAATCTTGAATCCGAGTACCAACCTCATAGCCTTAAGAACCTTAAGGATTTAATTGTCTCTCTTGAAAAAATAAATGCAAGTGGAAATCTTACCTCCCCAAAAGCTATCCCTACCCCTTGCTTTGCTCCCAAGAGAGAGAGACGCCATCACATAAACATGTTGGTATTAAGCGAGAAGGAGAAGTCATAGCTACTGAAATTGCTGGAAATGACCCTCTTGGTGCCACGGCCAATGTTTCCTCCAAGAAAATGCCTCCTAAGCATCCAAAATGGTCAAAACCAGGTAAGCATTTGATCCAATGATTCTTGGACACTCCATTTATGTGTATGGGTTCATACCTAAGTCTTGTCAGTTGCTTTTTAGTGGAGGAAGTTGAACTTTTCCTCAAATGGATTGAAATTTGGATGGCTTTCCCCTTTCAGATTTGCATACACACCCCAATCGTAAGGCTGTTTCAGATAATTATTCTTGGGAAGCTCTTGCAAGACCTAGAGATCTGGTCGGTTAGTTAGCCTTCAGAATGCGGTAGGGGTGGCAGTAAGTGACGACCCTTGGTTCAGTTTGTATATAGTTCTCGAGTTTTAGTCTCAGTTTAGTATTTTTCACTATGGAATGGTAAGTTATTGTTCTAATTCCTCTTCAGTGTATACATTTCTTCTAGAGTTACATCTATGTGCAATCTCAACAAAGAAAAAATTATAATTTAAATATAATAAGGTTGAAACATTTTTTTGATGTAAAGATCTTGGTTCAAAGATTTTCTTTGTTTCTTCCTGGACCTAGGCTAAGAAAAGTTAAAGAGCACCAGATTTTTTTAGTGGACTTGTATGAAATAACTTTTATGGCTTACTGCTTTGGGATGCAAACTGTGCTAAAAATGTGTACATTTTTATCGGCTGAAACAGGCTATTTCATAATCTTTGTTGTTTCGATGTTTAGTTTTTTATTTATTTAGGATAAATTACACATTTAGTATATCAGTTTTGTTTCAGTACCTTAATTTTTATTTGTTTCAAAACTATATCTAACGTTTACTTTTTGTTTCATTTTAGTATCATGTTGTTAAAAACTTAATAGCAAACTGACGTGATAATTTTTAATTATTTTAAAAAAATTAATTATTTTCATTCAACTAATCAAACTAAACTAACCAAACTAAAATCATAACAAAATTAAACCATAATCAAAAGAGAGAAAGAAGTCTTACCTTCTCGGTGTTTGGTATTTGTGACAGTTGACAATAGCTCGAGAATGATGATAGTGTAGAGTTGAAGAACGAAAGGAAACAAGAAAGAATACTTACCTTCCCGGTGGTTGGTATATGTGATGGTCGGTAATAGCTTGAGAATGATGATAATGAAGAATTGAAGAAAAAAAGGAAACAAAAATCAGCAAAACAAAGGACAAGAAAATAAAACAAAAAGGGTGGATAGTTTTACCTTTGGGTTCCCGATAAAAACTTTAGTGGTCAGATGACAAATCCAAATGGTAGACCACGAGAGAATAATAAGTCAATTAACATAGTCTTGTTCCAAGTCCATTAGACGATGGACGATGAAGATCAGTAATAGCTTCTCGATGTTTGGTATCTATGACAGTCGGTAATAGCTTGAGAATGATGATAGTGAAGAGTTGAACAAAAGGAAACAAAAATTAGCAAAACAAAGGAAAAGAAACTAAAACAAAAAAGGTGAAGAGTTTTACCTTTGGGTTCTCGATGATAGCTTCAGTGGTAAGATGACCAATCTAAATGGTGGACTACGAGAAAATGATGAGTTGACTAACATAGTCTTGTTTCTGGCCTATTAGATGATGGATGATGAAGATCAGAGGATGAAAAAATTGAAGAATTCATTGTCAGTTTGGAGAGATTGAGGCGTTTCGTAGTGAAATAGAGGTCGAAATTACGTTCAAAGGTTCTGAGGGTCAAAAAGGTATGGATTAGAAAGTTTGGGTTTCATCAACAGACGGATGCAGCGATCGACAATGGACGACAAATGGTAGTCGACAATTGTAGATGCAGGTTTGGAGAGATTGAGGCATTTTCGAGTGAAACAAAGGTCGAATTTTGTTCAAAGGGTAAAAAATATATGGACTGGAAAGTTTGAGTTTCATCGGCCGAAGGATGCGGCGATTGATAATGGACGGCAGATGGTAGTCGACAACTGTAGATGCAAGTTTGGAGAGATTGAGGCGTTTCCCAATGAAACGGATGTCGAAATTACGTTCAAAAGGAAAAAAAAGGTGTGGACTTGAAAGTTTAGGTTTCATCTGTCAGTCGACAATGGACATCTTATGGTAGTCGACAATTGATGAAGCGACTAGCAGATCGTCTCACCATTTTCTGGGCAAGATTATGTATAGAGAGGTGGGAGATTTTCTAATAAGGTGGTGACATGTGTCACCACACCACCTTATTAGTTGAATAAAATTAATTAAATCATATTTTAAATAATGATTTAAAAATTAATTAAAAATTGCCTACTCAGCTGTGTCGATAAGTTTTTAACGGCGGGATACTAAAATGAAACAAAAAGTAAATGTTAGTTATGATTTTGAAACAAATGAAAGTTTAAATACTAAAATGAAATAAAATTGATAGTTTAATGTACATATTTGGCATATTGTTAAAAAAATCCATTATCGTTTGATTAAATAGTCACTTTGACTTTTATTTTTATTTTTTGAACATTTTGGCCATTGATAATAATAATTTTGGCATATTTGGCATAATGTCGAAATTCTTTAGAAAAAAGAATAAGAGTCGATAACTATTCAGTAAAATATTAGGAGCCATTTCTCCTAAAATAAAATGCTAGTAGTCAAAATGCTAAAAAAAGAATAAGGATCAAAATGATAATTTTGATAAACGTTGAGGGTTTAAATTTGATATTATCCCTATATATTTTATTCATATCATACATGATTTACCGGCAAACTAAGAGTAGCTTATTGGTAACCAAATGACTATTATTTGTGGCATAGTAATGTGGCCTATGTTTTTCTGAACAAATATAACTTCCATTGAAAAACATTAAGAGAATAAATTACAGAGGGTAGGGAGCAAAGGCCCGAGATCACATGGGTTAAGTCATGCTGGAGTTCAAACAAGGCTCAAATGGTTTGGATATTTTTGTTGTTGGAATAGTTGGGTGATTTTGGTGCTACGTGATAATGAGGTATGGGTATTTTTTTTTTGTTTGAATAGTCGGGTGATTACAAAGTAGTATTTGTTTAAAAATTTTCATGATCATCGATAAAACACACAAACCCTGCAGACGCAGTTATTTAAACTCGGAACTTCTAGAGAGAACACCATTCTTTAATATTCGTCACTGTGTATTTTCTCAATCGTTTGGCACACTGCTGCCTGCTTGTTTGTTTAACATCATTTGAATTTTACTATGAGCAATGGTAGCGGTGAATTTCTTATCTCATGTGACAATCTCTGGGAGTAGCAAACCGTATTTGCTAATACATCTTCAATAGCTCTAATCTAGTGAAGGGATCAAGATTTGACAATCCATGTTTTTACGTGCCATCAAATTTTCGTGGAGCCTAGGGACATAAGATGGGATTGTGTTGGGATAGATTATCAAAACCGCTAATCATAATCACTTTTGCAATGACCATGAGGTGTGAAGGTATAGATTGGGTGTAGATGTCAGCGGAATGCCATTTTTTTTATTAAATAGATAGATATATCATTTATAAGATGATGGTTAGGATTCAAATTCACATATAGTAGGATAATACAAATATCTTTGATCACCCGATCAATTAATAAATCTTGGTAGAATGCGAGTTTCATTGCACTATTTGTCTTTATTGTTGTCAGAGTTTTTCTCTCTTTTTATGTAACCCTCTTAGACCTCGGCCTAAGCGTTATGAACGAACTTCGGACACCACACTAACGATAATTCATAAAACATAACTCATTTAAGAAAATATTGACATTATTAAAATAGTTTGTGAAACATATAAACATCTCTTAAATAAATAATAATAAATATTCATATCTAATAAAATAATGCACGCTAAATCATGTAGTGTAACACCCCAATTTAGGGGTTAAAATTAAGAAATTATAAAGTGGTAGATTTAATTTGGTATTTTGAAAGAAACAGTGGGTTAAATTGCAAAATTTTAAAGTTGGTAGATCGCTTTAAGAAGTGTAAGAAATTCAGTGGCTAAACTCATGATTTACCCATTTTTATTTTGGAGAGAATTATAAATCTCTCCCCGTATGTTTTCTGGAGAAATTTTTTCATATTTTCCTCTTCATCAATCCCTCTTTGAACTCCGATCTACTCGCCGTCCGACCTCCTATCGACGAGTCGAAACCACCATCGTGTTCATTGTCGAGCGAGGAACAAAACCCCTCAAACCTTTCGTCATGAATCGTCTCCGTTCGTCGTTAATTTCAGTCGGAAGTATCATCGGTAATAACCCGATTTTAGTTGGGTTTTCATCGATTCACGACGATCGGGTCATCCGTTTACGACACCTCCCGCACCATCGTGTTCCTTGTGCCGTTCCGAGTCCACCGGTGTCCTCCCTTTTCTCAGGCGGCGGCGGCACGTGTGGAGGTGAAGCGTTAAAAGTTTCCGATTTGTTGAAATAGAGCTCTCCGCCGTTCAAAAATTTGAACCGAGCTTTGTAAGTATTTCGAAATCGCTTAAAATAATTTTTAGGAATTTTTCCAGGAATTTAGCACTGTTCACGCTCCCCCACGCGCCTCAACTGCGCGTGGGGAAGAAAAAAATAACCGGTTTAATCGGTTTTGGTGCATAGTTGACCGGTTTGACCAGTCATAACCTGACCCGACCCGACCCCGACCCGTTAACACGACCCGACCCGTTGAAATTTTGACCCGTTGACCACTGTTGACCAAAACTTTGACGGGCTTTAATCGAGCATTAAACGACCTTTGTTTTTGACCGAGTATACCTATCCTGACATTTTTCGACGTTCCAAATCCGATTCCGCAATCCGTTTTTCGAAATTCGGACCCAAAGGCCTCTAAATTTCCGGTCAAACCCGTTGACTTTGATTTTGACCGAAAATTCCAAATTTTTGAAAAGTCATATTTTATGCTTTCGACGTCCTGAATCCGAATCCGAAGTCCGTTTCGCCAAATTCGAACCCGGTAAGCTGTCTTTCAGTGATTTATCACCAGATTCGATCCGTTTATCGTAATTAAGCTCCGTTTCTGATATAATTTATGTTGATATGTATCTGAGGAATTATTGGAAGTTGAATTGAAGATCAAAGGCGTTCGAATGGAATTTTTATGGTCGATCAGTATTGCACGAAAATCGAGGTAATACTTTACTACCTCTTTATGCTTTATAGAACATGTTGGTATTGGTAAATGCATGAATGGAAATGTCTGGTCTCATATGTGTAATTAATGAAGTTCTACACTCGATCTGAATACGGTAAAAAGGTTCAGTAATTGATTATGGTTCAGATGACTTTTATAATAAATTAAGAGATTGTTAGAATTAAATTACAAGTTATGTGCTTAGTCATAAAGAAAT